ATCGTATTAGGGTATCAATGACATTTTCAAGATCCACATTACTGATAATGTCATGATCTAACAAAATAAACCCAAAATAATGAATTTACCTATCTTTTATATAAGAATACTACTCTCAATATTATCAAAAACTCTACTATTTCTCTCATTCCAAATGACCCTGAAAATAGTCAAAGATATCAAGTTAGCAGTCTTATTTTTTACATATAAACCATCCACATCTACTTTCTCTTCGACAAGCCCTAATTTCACATTTTCCTTTTTTTAATATCTATCGAGTCCCCAAGGATAAAAGATTCCTCCTCCTTAGTGCCTGATGTCTCTCCCCGGGTTGGGTAAACAACACCCTTTGGATCCGGGCAAACAAAAAGGCCCCCACTAACATCGTTCGTAATTTTCTATTTCCCTTTTTCTCTTGACGAATTCCTTTTTTTTCCACCCAGCCCATCTTTTTTGTCGTTCTGTGTACGGCCCAACAAAACAAGAGCCTTATCACCCTTTTTAACAAACCGATGCTTAAGATTGTCGTTTTGGTCACTAACCATATGCCCTTTGCCTGTCCTGTAATGCCCTTTCGGGCCAACTTGATATGATTCGGATTGTCTCTGTCCCACCTTAATCGCATTACCTTCAACAGCATGTACCGCCTCTGCGTGTGATTTCATGCCCTCGAACTCCATCGCTATGTTGGCGTTGATTGGAGTGTTACAGTGTGGATAGTGGAAAGATGCTTTTCATGGAAATTTCATCTGGTCCACCTTCTCCTTTGGTCATTCTGTATTGTTCCTTCCACCCTCTTCAGTGACCTTAGACGGTTTAACCGGTCTGTCCGCCAGTTCATATGCTACCACCAATAACTTCGACCACCCTTTCCCCTGCAAGCCTCCCGAAAAAAAAAATCCTCTTCACTCTTCAATCTCTTTGTACAGTCAAAGTTAGGTACTCCCCTCGTCCGTTTGATCCGTATGATATCCATAATTCATAGTTCCTCTTCACCAGGTGTTTTACCCATATGCCCGGTCTACATTTCGACCAAAAATCGTCGAGCGCATCGAGAAACCAAGCATATTCCTCTTTGTCCAAGAAGATCGACCTTCGAAACCCTCACCCATTCTCCATGATCCCTAATCCTTCTGCCTTCTTTCCTTTGCAGCATAGGTTGAAGGATTTACCCTCTAAGTAAAGATACCTTCAACCATACGAACTCATGTGTATACTTGGGTCTTGGTCGGTCTAGGCAGCCGAACACGGGATAGGGTTTAGAGTGAACTTTTTAGAGAGAGAGAGAAGAGAGTGTATTATATACCTTAGCCCCATAGGTTCTATTTAATTCACTAGTTTTCTTATTTTATCGAATTTCTAGATAGGTATACCATGGATATTCATGTGAAAGCAAAAAATAATTTAGCTAGTAAAGACAAATTTTTTAAAAACCAAATCCTAATACTCAAACCACTATCCTTAATAGGAAACCGATACACATTCTATCTCTAAATAATCTCTTGAAGCATCCTTCATGATCCACTTAACTTTCTCAGCCACTTTCTTCAAGACTCTAAAACTAAGACATGAGTACAAAGGAATAACAGAAAGACATACCTAAATAAGAGCAACTCTAGCATCTGAAGATAAACAATTGCATCCGGTTGCCTTCATAAGACCACTGACGATAGGACCATATACATCCACAAGATGACTTTTACTAAGATTAATGCAAAGACTGAATATTTTCAAATATAAATGAGCTTAAGAGCATTTTTAACCAACCCGAAATCATTTGAAAGGAATAGAATAATGTCATTTGTGAAATGAAGATGAGAAATCTCCATTCTCTCCTCCCAAAGGCACACAAACCTTTGACACACTTCTATAAGATCCCTTAGTCAAAGTCCGACTAAGAACACATACCACTGGAGTTAAAAGGAAAGGAGAAAGAGTATCTTCACATCTCACATCTCTAAACCAATTGAATAAAGACCACAGCTTACAATTAATGATAACTGCAAAAGACACCAAGGAAAGACACCCACTAATCCACTTCTGGCACCTAGATCCAAAACCTTTTCTTTCCAACCCTTTGTCCATAAAGTCCCAATACCCTATCGAGTGCCTTCTAAATTCCAACTTGAAAATCAACTCTTTACTGTTAGATTTTTTAATATCCTCCACAACCTTGCTAGTAACAAACAGAAGCATATACAGTCTGTCTATCCCACAGGAAAACATTCTACTCAAGAAAATTATATCATTCAGAACCTCAAAGAACCTCAAACAAAGCACTTTAAGGATATGGTTACGCACAGTGGTCCTGAAACCTATAGGGTAGAAACGAAAATCTTCTTAGACCTATTTTTCAGGCACCAGTGTGATGAAGGTGGAACACATACTTTTACTGACATTCCATTAAGATGAAATTCCTCAAAATATTTCATTGGTCACATTTCACAAAATCCCAACAAACTTGGAAGAATGTAATGGAAAAACCATCTAGGCTAAGGGCCTTATTTAGACCCAGAGCTCAGAGAGCCTCTTCACTTCTTCCTCAAGAAAATGTCTCTCCTACCAGTTTCCCCATTCCACACTATTAGGACTGCATTTATTTTACCAATTCAATGAACTTATATCCCTCTTTCCCTTTCCTCTCCATTGGACAATCAAATGAATAATGAATAATAATATTTACTTCTGCATCCCCACTGAACTCAGTGTGAATGATCTTTAGACTCAATGATAGAGAAGTTAAACTCTGGAGGTCAGCAGACTTTTGGCCCCAGGTAGAACTACGAAAAGAAATTTGTTATTTGATGCTCAACTTAGATACTGAGTAGGGTAGAAATGTATTTGCATATGAAAAAAGAAAAAGAAAAAAGTGGACTCTTGAGAAGCAGTCCATACTTTGTACTATTTATTTAAATCGATTATGCTCTTTCTCTTACCCATAGACTAGCTCTTATAAGCTGAAATCAGAAGCGAATGATAATACATTCTCTTACTTAACACAGATGAGTGAGTACGTGGGTGACACAGAAGACTTCATCAATATTATGTTGGATGACAAACAGAATCATCTGCTAGAGATGGGAGTGCTGCTCAGCACCGCAAATATGATACTCAATGCAGGCATTGTTGTTGTTGGATTATTTGGCATGAACATTACAATAGAACTCTTCAATGGTCAACCTATACAATTCTGGGAAACTGTGGTGGGTACAGTGGGAGGTATTGTCGCTTTGTATGTGATTGCAATTGGCTGGGGCAAGAAAAAGAATTTTCTGGCTTTATAGAATCATTCTCATCAAGAGAAGGATCACATATTTACCAGAGTAAATCAGTTCTTTATATCTTGAATTCCCAATGGAATCTGATCTATATTTTATAATGCTGTAATAGAAATTTAACCACAAATTTTTAGATGACTTTCTACTTATGTAGATAATTTCTCTGCAACGATAAGTTGCAAATTTTGGTAAGATTTCGAATTAAATTCAATATATACATTTCGTGATTAGTTCAATTAAATTATAATAAATCAAAATTACACTTACTTGAATGAAGTGCATGTAATTCTTTTTCTCGTGCTGCAGGGATAAGAGAACAATGATTAGTTTATAACAAAAATTACCGTATAAAATAATAATATAAAAACTAATGTAAAAATGTATACCTGTACCTAGAGCTAAATGGGCGGACGAGATGAAATAGCTCATGACAGTCTGTCCTAGTCATTTGGGCTCTATGCTCTTTCTGGGTCTGGTCGCCTCGTTGTTGAGCTTGTCTCGTAAATTGATCAGACACTATGTCTTGGAACATTCAATTTTGTAATACAAGTAAATTAATTTACCAAAAACAAAATAGTTCAAAATAAATTAAAATTTCAATCTCTTTTTCTTACAATAAAATAATAATATTTAAATTAATTTACTTTCTCGTATTAAGATGTTAAATGACACTTTTTTTTTTATTATATTATGACTATTACTAAAATTAAAATCCTGTAGTGTTCTCAAAATTTCAGTTAGATAAAGCTATAAAATAAATATCTTAATTAATAAAAAATTGTAATATTTATAGTAACTTCTTTTCCTTTAATTAACACAAATGATTGGTATCTAAAAATGATTAAAAATTAGTGCTAATTAATTTCAATTTTAATAATTTCTCATCTTTTATATAAATTTGGCATATGATTTTTTTTTTTTAAAAATCTTATTTAATAGTAATAAACCAGAATTACTATAGCTGCAAATGAGAGACACAACTCATTAGCACTAAACGACAAAAAATAAAAATAAAAAACTGAAAATAAAAAAATTGCTAAAAAATTAATAATAATAAAATAAACTGGTGGTTGGCAAAAAAACTGTCATTTAAATAAATTCTGTTGAATTCAGTTCACTGGATCATTCCCTCTCATCTTCTTCTTCTCCATGATCACTTACCGGGCTTCTAACTTAAATCTGTCGCACAAAGTTATCGGCAGAGACTATCCTTCTCTTGTTGGTTATTTGCAGGTTTATCCTTGTCGCGGCCATATTCGAGGAATCATTTCCTCTATCGACAGGTCTAAGTTGAAGCTCAGAGGTTTTTGCAACAACAAAGGCAACAACAATGGTTTCAAGAGAGAGGAGGATTTTGATATTCCTGAGAAAGAGGAAGAACGAGAGAGAAAAGTACATTGTGAAATGGAAGTGATTTCATGGAGGGAAAGAAGGATTAAGGCCGAGATAGCGGTCAATGCTGATGTCGGATCGGTTTGGAATGCTCTCACCGATTATGAACGACTCGCAGATTTTATTCCCAATCTTGTTTGCAGGTACTCTTCTCGTTTAACCGTAAAACTATGCCGCGAGATTTCTATACAGTTTATAACTTTCCCTCTTTTTATTTCATGAGCTTAATTTTAGAAAATTTGAAGTTTTGAGTCCATCTTATTTTAATTGCTTGGCAACTGAATGGAGCGGCGAAGAGAGGAAAACTGGAAATGTACAAATTTGTTTTTTCATATTAATTTTAATCCTATCAGTTATACTGAACAGTGAGGGAGATTTTACCGGGTTTTGACTGATTTTGTCCGATATTATATCCGATACATTTACCATACTGTGTTGGTATGGTCCTATAGTACTTACAAGGTGATCGGACGGTTACCGGTGTGACTAGATTGTTGCAATCATATTGCTAATCAGCTTATAAATTGGCTTATTTAGTAAAGTGGAAATAGTTCGTTTAAGTATGGGAACATTTTATTGTTTTGACACCTTTGACACCTTTGATAACATTTTCTTTGGCAAAATTCTGCTTTGAAGACTCGGTTGTTCAAAACAATTACTTTGAAATTTATAAACAAAAGCAGAGTGATGTCCTGCGCTAAGCTTCTTAAGATCTTCCCACAATAGTACATAACAATGTTGAGTTCTTGTCTCAATTTTCCTCCTTGCATGAGTATTCTTTTTATAGTTACAACATATCTTTATACTATATAGGGAATTCATTGAAGATTTATACAACAATTTCCTAGCTGTAGCAAACCTCTATCAATAAAGAAATACACAAGTGAGAGAACATACAGTCTATCCTAATATCTATCACCATGTCCTAGAGGATGCAAAGATTGGCACAAAGATGTCTAAACTCGGAAGCTGTCAAGCCTTCAGTGAACACATCTCCAACTGCTCTTGACTGGGGAAAAATCTTTGTATTTTCCTCCTCACAAATCAAGCTCGTGCACAAGGGAATGCAATCTTTTTTTCCACTAGTGCTTTATTGGTTCTAAGGTCTTGTTTGGTTCATTTCTCATCGTGCCCCTAGCTTTTCCTAGTTTTACTTTTAATTAGTTTTGATCTCTAGAATTACAAGATGATTTTTTATATTTCAATTATCCTTCCTCCAAAAAATTCATGATGATATGAAGCATGTAGAAAATCATATTGTAGTTCTACATATCAAGACCGAAAAAAAAAAAAAATTCCAAATCAATAGGGAATGGAATGAGAATGACCCAAAACCAAGTGCGACATTAGATTAAGGACTGTAAAACTATGAAGTTATATGTTTTTTTTTTCCTCAATGTAAATTAAGCTACGCTGTAAATGACTAATAAGGAAGAAAACCTACTACCTTCGCATTATGTTATGAAGTGATGGTCTTTTATAAACATAATTACTCTTCTCTCAGTTTGGCAATCTCCGTGGGTCTTTTCCCGTTAGTCCTTCTATTGATTTTTCTTTGGATGATTAATTGTTCTAAGTTCTGTTACTTTTCTAATTCTTCCCAAATAACTGGACTTTTGATTGTTCTGCACTTTCTAGTGGGAGAATTCCTTGCCCACATCCTGGGCGTATTTGGCTGGAGCAAAGAGGATTACAAAGGGCATTATATTGGCATATTGAAGCGCGTGTGGTCCTAGATCTACAAGAATTCCCAGACATAGTGAGCATCTGAAACTCAATGAATCATGCAGATACACTGCTTGATAAGAAAGAAAAATTTTCCTTCTCAGATTCTTTTTGCTACAGATTCACTTGTCTACTTCATCATCACATATCACTTTATCAGTTATGATGTAGTTATCTCAACTTTGCCTTATCTCATACTAGTTGGGGTCAGCTACAATATGAATCTTTTTCCTCTCTATCCTATTTAGGATTAAACTCTGTCACGTGCTTTTTAATCCTTTTTTAAGAAATCCTTTTGCAACATATAATCTTTATTAGTAGTCATTTTCCTGAAAAATGTAAAGAATTAGAAAACCTGAATCCATGTTCATGAGTGTTTTGCATATTTAATTTTCTGTTGAAGTTTGACATTTTTGCTTTTACGATTAATTCAAATTTTTGAATAAAGCATTATTTTGTACCATGCAAATAAGCTAATTGTGTGTGGGAAAAGAAATACGGTCGTGTGAAGGAAAAATGAAACACTTTGAGCATAAAGAAGTTGGACTTTTGAGCTTAAGACATGTTTACTGGAGTGTATAAAATAAGTTAGATAAAGAACGTAAAAGAAGTCATATTTGGTTGGAAGACAAGTTATGTACCGCAGGTGGCTGTAAATAGCTTCATAATTTAATAAATACATGCAAAGAATAGCCACTTCCTCTCCTCTTTGTTCAAATCAACAAATGATATCAAAACTTGTATGGTCTTCGAGGGACTGAAAAAGAAGACAAGATTAACTGCAAAAATTCACCAAAACCACCTGTCTCTCGAGACAATGTCTGGTTTCTGCATAAGCTTCCAGTCTGGGTGCAACATTCTGGTCTCAAGAATGCCTTCTTGGTTCCAGAACATAATTGGGATCCCTAGATTTCACCTAGTACTCCAGACTATATATAGGTCCCAAGAAAATGCTTGAGTCTTCTTAGTTAGTATAATTTTTTTACGAAAGTTATTGAACAAAAACTTTTTCCCAGTATCAAATTTTAGCACCAAATTTGATACTGTATGTTCCGTACTTAGCCAGTACATTCCTACAAAAGAATGCTATAGTATGCTGAAAAAATGATACAGGGAAATTTTTAGTCTTTTGTTGCTCTAGAAAGATTTCATTATTTGCACATAAACTTGACATATTTGGATGTCCTCAGGCAAATGTAGGGTGCTATAGCCTACTGTTTTGTCTTCATAGTTTCCCTTGGGTTATTTCTGATAAAATTCTCTTGTCACCCTATTTTTTGGCTACTTTAGAATCTATTTTTATCATGCTGCAATCTCTGTTTGAGTGTATATGTTTTTATCCCTTGAACTTCTATCTTAAAATTAAAATTTCATAACAAGTAATGGCCATTCTTAAAATGAGACCATGAACATGTTAAGATGAATTTCTGAGGCTAGTATATCATCACGAATCATCACTTTTATACCATAAAATTATCACATTTCATGAGTTCATCCTCTCAATTTTGCGTTTATACTAATGTTACATTTTGATCAGTTGTTCATCTTTATGTGGATGTTAGAATGGGCCTTTTTTTCCTACCCGAGTAAGCTTGGTAGCTTAATCAATATGCATGCTTTAGTTTCAGTTCTAGTCTTGAAAGCTCCTGTATAAGAACTGCAAGCATATCCTTGGAGTTGAACTCATTGGTTAGTTTAAGTTTAGTAAATCTCATTTATGTGTGACTACTTCTTCCTTTTAATTCTCGGTACATTTCTGTTGATGCAGTCCAATGGTCGTGAACTTCACTTTTCCATGGTTGATGGGGACTTCAAAAAGTTTGAGGGCAAATGGGCTGTAAGATCTGGAACAAGGTACAACCTGTACTTGTACGTACATATATATTTTTCATGCAACTACAAAGCATTAATTAGCAATGGGACTGAGAACACAAGAGATGCATTCTTATAAATATCCATGTAACTAGACGAGATTAACTTTGAATATAATGCACTATCGGTGATGAGGATTGAGTGGTTTCTTTTCATGGATATAGAGATATATATGCGCACAAACAAATGCAAAACTTAGACAAAGTCTTTGATATGGTACAGTTTTTTCTTAATTTTATTTTTTCCAATGTTCAATTGCTTGAGATCTTTTTCCATTCATAGAATGTTTTTTGAAACTAGTAAACTGGTAAAAGAAATTAAGAGTATCAATTTAGAGATTCTTCATGTGGACTACGTTAAAAAAGTTTTCTCTTTATCTTCCTTTTCAAGCAGGTCCACAACAGCAATTTTATCATATTTAGTAAATGTGATACCAAGATTTAACTTCCCAGCTATTTTCTTAGAGAGGATTATCAGATCAGACCTTCCTGTGAATCTTCGAGCCTTGGCTTGTCGAGCTGAGAGTAATTTCAATGGTAATATGAAAATGCTGACAGAAGATTCCTTGAGTAGAACATCCTGGCCTGGCATCAGCTTTGATGCTGCTATATCTGAAAAGGATAAAATGTCGCCCAGAGAAGTTAAAAAGAATTATAATACCTCCAATCTTGGCCTGACACCACCATCTTCAAATGAGCTGAATAGTAACTGGGGTGTATTTGGAAAAGTCTGCAGACTTGATAGACCTTGCGTGGTGGATGAAGTTCATCTTCGTAGATTTGATGGCCTATTGGTAACTGATTGACCCTAGACTATTATCATGAGTCCTTTCTGTCCCCAGGATGGCTAATTTCATTTTAGCAATGGCTAATAAATTGATTTTGGGCTGAAGGAAAATGGAGGTGTTCATCGCTGTGTTATTGCTAGCATAACAGTTAAAGCACCTGTTCGTGATGTCTGGAGTGTTTTAACTGCTTATGAGAGCCTTCCCGAGTAAGCACTCAATATCAATATATATATATATATATTTTATGTTTAAGTCCTACTAGTCTACTACTTTTACTCTACTGCTTGTAGATACTAACTAATTTGAAACTAGTTACTTTTCTTTATTTGGTACTGCTGCATGTATGCATTATCAACTTCATTGTAAACTAACTAGAATAACCCCAATCAGAAAGTAACATATAGTTAGTTGTAAATCTCATATTTCTTCCTGCTAGTGCTAGATATGGCCAAAGAATATAAAATCTGGTCAAATAGTACTTGATCCAGTTGAGCTGAGTGCTCCACTAATTTCACAGAAAAAAGTCTTTTGCAACTATTAAAGTGTTGTTAATATAACAAGACTACACACAGGATTTTAATATGGAAATTAGGCATTTTTGGCATTTATTTGGAAAGTGTCCACTATGATAATGATTAGACAGTAACAAGAAAATTCATATAAAAGCTCATTAGTAAATGGTTTCGTGAAACATAAAGAGAGTTGTAACAGAACTACAGATTCCATTAAACAGATAGGGGTTGCAAAGGAAACAGAAATTGTGGGAACAGTTCTGGGGGATGCCTTTCTTACAAATAGGGTACATTTAACTATAGCCTCTCAAATTCCTGGCACTATGCTGCTCTTTCCTTATCAAATGTTATTTCTGTAATCTATTTCCTCATGAATTCTTTTCTTTGTTCTTTTCAGGATTGTTCCAAACCTAGTCATCAGTAAGGTTTTGTCACGAGAAAACAATAAAGTTCGCATTCTACAGGTATTAGACATATCTTCACATATTGCAGCATTATAACAATAATGATGTTGCTGTTGTTTGGAAATCCCTTCCCTTGAAGAAAAATTTGATGAAACTATTAAGCTTAAGACTACACTAGTTAAAGTTAGCAATGCTACCTAGTTTGAGTAAAAAATAGTAAAAGAATGGAGAGGAAAGGAAGGGAAGGGAAAAGTGATTTTCTTGTTTAACTAAAAACTGAACAAAGTAAAAGAAAGTAAATGATTGTTAACATTTTAGTGGTTTAGCTTTATAAAGGAAAAAAAAAGTATTTGTTATGAGGAAATAGTCAATAGTATCCTTTTTTTTTTAATAGAATAACATTTTCTTTTATAAGATAAATGGAGTAATAAGTTAGGTGGTGAGCATAAAATAGATATTTGTTCTTCAAAATTCATTTTTTTCCTTTCTTCCTTTTCCCCCCAGCTTGGAGGAATAAAACAATCAGAGTTGAAGGGAAAGGGAAGGATCCTCACCCCCTCTACCTTTTGTTTACTAATTGTTATTTTGTATTCAAACAAGAAAAAGATATGTGAGCATCTCATATTTTCTTTTTCTTTCCCTCCACTTCCCTCAACGACAAGAAAAAAATAGCTAGAACGGGGTTAGATAAATAAAACTGGAAAACCAACTCAGAAAGGAAGTGACAAGAATGTTGTACTCCCACTGAGATCTTCGAATGATTGATAAGCATTAGTAACTCCTGGTTGTTGTTGTTCACTGGTCTCCCTTTAGTAGGAGTATTAAGTCTTCTGGTCTGAAGGGAATATTCTTTAAGCAAAAACCATATCAGAAGTTCAGAAACCAGGGAATATAAAAGATATAATCTATCCGAAGGACCGAGAGAGAATATAGAAGATGGCAGCTTCAGGATGGGAAAGTATTGTTACAATTTTCAGAAACACATCTGAGCCTTGAGGTTGGCAGTAGAAGAATTATTTTGCATTTTAAGATGTATGGTCTAGAAAAAAAACGAAATTAAATGATGCAGTTCTATATTTTTTTCCTTAGAGAATATTCTTCGTTATTATGTTCTCTCAAAACTCCTAAATGCTTTCTTTGACACATCAAATCATTTTATAATTTTCATTTTTGAAATTAAGATGTGTTTATTTATGGAACCATATTTAGTGGTGTGGATTTATAGATTAATCTAGTATAAATAAAGTAGTTATCCAGAAAACACTAAAAAACAATCCTTTTAAGATCTTATTATCATTTCACTATCATTTACTACATGTTATATTTATCTTTAAATTTTTTATGTATTCGTATATATGAATATACGAAATTGAGAAATAAACATTAAAATTTATTTTTATATACTGAACATGGCCAATAGTACAAAGAAACATATTCTAGTTTTTACTTTCTAAGTTCGTATACATTTATCCATATATTTGTTCATTACAGCAAGCAAAGGGTGTGTATATGAATCAGTTAAGTAAAAGTAAAAATAGTTCTTAAGCTCTAATCATTTTTACTATCATCTTTTTAATGTTAGCTAACTTAATTATTTTTATGCATAAAATATATGTAAACTAAGAAATAAAAACTAGAAAATATTTTCTTGTAGAATCAGAAAATATTTTCTCTTTCAACTCATTGTGCTCTCCTTGCAACACCCAATTTTTGTGATGAGATCATTTTAATAATTCTTACGTGCATATTCCTTTTCTCAGGAAGGATGCAAAGGCTTATTATATATGGTTCTTCATGCGCGGGTTGTTCTAGATTTGCGTGAACATCTAGAACAGGAGATTAGTTTTGAGCAGGTTGAGGGGGATTTCGATTCTTTTCGAGGAAAATGGCTTCTAGAGCAATTGGGAAGTAACCACACATTATTGAAGTATAGTGTCGAGTCAAAAATGCATAAGGATACCTTTCTTTCTGAAGCCATCATGGAAGAGGTTTGTGATGTATTTTCATGCAATTAATTTTAATGTACACATACTCCAAAAAGAAAAGAGAAATGAAAGGACAAAAGTAGTCAATAAAGAATATGGCTCTAGGAAGGTTGGCACAAATTTTTCAATACTCCTAATCTCTTAAATTAAAAGGAAAAAGTTGCAAAATTTAAAGTATGAAAGAAGTTTATTTAAATTTTACAAGAAAAATCACCTCGTTAGTTCTAACCTTTTCTCTTTTCCTTAAACACTCTTTACTCATAACGCAAGCACGAGGATGAAAGAAAAAACACTTTCCTTTTAATTCAATTCCTCCAAGTTCTCCATCCCTTTAAAACATTGCTGTTTGCTTCCACTGAGTTAACATATTGTGGTAGGGTCGTAATCTTGGATACAAAAATATGTTTGATTTCAAATCCTCATGTTTGCAAAGTATCCTCCTTACTATGATCTCAGGTCAGCTTAGGACATCTGCAGAACTATGGATCTAACTTGCCTTATGAAGCATGGATATTTCATTACCCTCCATTATGATCACATGAGCAGCCATCTCTATCTGATAAGATTTTGTGGCCAATATGTTGAATAAGTATGAAAAACATCACATATATAATAAAACCAAAAAGAATGGTTAAATGTATATTTCATTCAATATCACAGCTTTATATATACAGATTTTTTTTAAAATAGAGCGAAGGAAATAAACGATTGATTACACATGGTGTATTTTACTGTAATATCTTTTAACCTAGTTTACATACAATACACTCTCTTTAACACTATCAATTAATTTTTCATGAATATATAGGTTATTTATGAAGATCTACCATCGAACTTATGTGCAATTCGAGATTATGTTGAGAAAAGAGAAGCAAAAAGCTCTTTTGGAACAATTGAAAATGGACAATATTCAGATGAACTTATTGTTTCATCTTCCAGTGAAAATGAAGCTGATTGCAGCATGACAGCCGAGACTGTTTCTTCTTTCACTGCTTCAACACCAAACAGACAGAGACCCAGGGTTCCAGGACTGCAAAGAGACATTGAGATCCTTAAAGCTGAGCTTTTGAAGTTTATTTCAGAACATGGACAGGCAGGGTTTATGCCCATGAGAAAACAACTCCGTTTGCATGGTAGGGTGGATATTGAGAAGGCCATCACAAGGATGGGTGGGTTTAGAAGGATAGCATCAATGCTGAATCTTTCCCCTGCTTACAAGCACCGAAAACCAAAAGGTTACTGGGACAATCTTGAGAATTTGCAAGAAGAGGTAGGTTGGACACTTTTATCTGCCATTCTGAACAACATATCATCAAGCTTCTCTAAATCTTTTGCCATTCTACTTGTTACTTTCTATGCTTTATGAGATAATTAACAGTAAATATTGCAACTGTATGGTCCGGCTAATTCGATGGAAACTACAGCAATTTCATCATGATTGATATATTTATGGCTGAACTATAAATATAACATTTATTTGCCTTATTTTTCTCTGTTCTGAGGAATTAAACAGTAATGTCTAGCCCATTTAATTTGTTTCAGCCCCATTGACAGATATGGCTGATATCATGCTATTGTATAAACATTATTTACCTTCTTTCAGATAAGCCGGTTCCAAAAGAGCTGGGGAATGGATCCATCATTTATGCCCAGTAGAAAATCTTTTGAGCGTGCAGGTAAACCAGTATGATAATATTTATTGTTTGATTAAATTCTTTCACTTGTTTAGTTTAAAAAAAATATTATAGTCCAGTCCTTTTTTGACTTGTCATTTGGTTCTGATGTTTTGAGAAATTGTTAATAGGACGCTATGATATTGCACGAGCACTGGAGAAATGGGGAGGTCTTGGTGAAGTGTCTCGGCTTTTGTCGCTCAAGGTGAGACACCCAAATAGGCAGCGAAATACTGCCAAAGATCAGAAATCTGATTACCTTGCATCTAGTGATGTCGAGGAAAAGACAACACCATCTAAACCTTACATTACTCAAGATACACAGAAATGGCTCTCAAGCCTCAAATATTTGGACATTGATTGGGATAATGAATAATAAATAACTATTTTTAAATTAAATAATAATGGTTTAATTATTTTAATTTTTTCAGTTAGAACATAAATAGAATCTGAATTTAAAAAATATATAAAATATTAATTAATTAATTACAATAAAAAAATATTAGTAAACAAATTGTAACAAGTGTCAAATTTTATAAAATAATTTAATAATTTGCGCAAAGAAATTAAGCTCGAAGGAGTTTATGAATCAGTTTTCAGTTTGCAACAAAATTCATTATAAGTTATTCTTAAATCTCTTTACCTACATTAACGTATCTTTTTTTTACTGTTGTCCATTCTTTCTGTGGAAAAAGCTGCTGATGGATGAAGATAATAGAGATGGTTGGAGTCAAATAGTACAAGAAAATAAAATGTTAGAATATTTAGACTATGTTTGAGAGTTTAAGGAAGAAAGTGAAAAATATGAACATCAAGGATTCTAGCACATTCTTGTTTATGTGTTAGTTATAACCGAAAAGACAAAAGCTAAGTTTTTAATCCTATCCTCTTTATCATAGAAGTAAAGGAAGTTTGATACTTGTCAAATATGCTTTCAGTTCCCAATTTGAGAAAGGAGAATTGAGTTACAAGTGTAGAGGAACTCCTGCTTTATCTTGATTAGTTCTCTTTAAAAACTACAAAACACGATTATTGTTATTATATAAAAATCTTACCTTAGTTTACCAGTTTTGTTACAAAAATTAACCTTCCAAACACTAAGTTAACCTCCAAGCACGCTCAATTTTCATTGTTTTCTTAACTCGAGTGATTTTCTAGTGTTCTACAGCGAAACTAAGAGGCCAATGCATTTTGAAGATGTCTAACATTGTTACTTCATGCAATAATCTAATCTCATTGAATTACAACTCCCCATTAATTCATTGTTAGATGTAATATCACTTGAAATATCATGTAATCCCTTATAAGTTACACATGTTTCTCATAAAGGATGTGTATACAAGAGAAAACAATGAGTACATGAGAAGGTGGAGACCTTCAAAGCAATATCAACAAAAGGAATTGTTTATCAACTTTTTCATTAATGTTTTGGTTGAAGTCTTTTCAAATTGTATCCGTGGTTGCAGTATACTTAAATTATAGTAACTAAAACATTGAAGAAGTATAAATGATTTTTCCTCTGGCCTTGTCCCCCAGTTGTCTCCAGGTTTGCCCAAAGTCTTGGGTGAATCCTTCAAGTACCTCTTAAAGTGCACATTACTGGTTCATGTCTCTACAGCTGCCTACCCGCTACTTCTTAAAGTGCATCTCACTGCTTTATGTCTCTACAGGTTGCTTATACACCTGGAAGCATGTAATATTTGATGAATCAACATTACACATCCAGATAAACTGCCCAAACTTCCTCATGCATCCCCAAAGACTTCCTTTCTATGTTTATCCTGCATCCCCACCATGAAGGATATTGCCGGATCAATATAAAACATTACTCTAATCATCCTTACACACCCTTGCCCTAACCACACCGTATTTGACTTTCAAATGTAACCAATAATACATCCATTTCAAACTTGTACTTATCTGTAACTCTGCCTTATAAGCATCGGACAATATGCACTACCATCAATGAAAACAAAATCTCCCTAAGCCTTTCAACAAAGACTTATTTCAAATTCAAACTGGATCTTGGAGCTAAATGAACCTGTCCTAACGTTGTAGACAATAAAATTTGAACGTGGTGATGAATCAAAAAATTGAAACCACTCATTTTTCACCTAAAACCATGTAATTTATATATACAAAATGCATCCAACAACAAAATAATAATAATTAAAAAAAACTCAAAACTCAGATCTCGGCTAATATATATGAAGTGCACTGTAAAGAAAATGTCAGGGCAGTTAGCTTTTCATGTTGCAGTTCAGGACAAGATGTATTTTCTGCCAGAGGCTCCAGGTTCAGCTGCCTTCAGAGGATGCTTGTGACTTCTGTATCAGCAACTCAATTTTCTGATAATCAGAACCACAGTGACAGAAACACCACTATAAATGAATAATTCATAAAAAAATATTGTAGAAAAATCTCTAATACCAATCTCCATGAAAATATGCCTCATTGTTAATCAATAGAATGATTTCAGTTCAAACAACAGGTGAAAAAGCACAACATCAAGAGAAAACCTTTAAGAAAAAGTGTCAAACTATAAAAAGAGAAAAACATTTGCAATAGACCATGTAAAAAAATGATACCTTAACAGATCTGCTAACTTCGTCAAGCTTGTGCAGCAGTAGGTCTCCAGAGACAGTGGCTCTATGATGCGGTGACCTTGTCATCTGCAACAAATATTTTGATGCAATTTTTAACATCTCAGAAGGAAAAGCCACTCGATCTGGTTCTTCAAGAAGTCCAAGAAAAGACATATTATAAGTAAATAACCAACACTTTGCATAGATAAAACAACTCTATTAAGAGTAAGAAAATATTTATAATTTTCATTTTCTGAATTCATGTGTTTATAAAAAAAACATGGAACATTAGTTATATTCATTTTGTTTAACAGTCAGCCTCTATTATTTGAAGAGGATTTGGGAACCTCATGCATACATTGTTCTCTTGATTTTTTGTATAGTTTGTGCACTTAGGTGGCACTCCTTTGGTACCTTGTTAATATTATTCACTCCCTTTTCTTCTTTAAAAAAATCACTTATGTTTATGCCATAATCAAGTATAAATAAAAAAAAATTGAAAAACATACAAAATAGTTTCTTATTTCCACCATTCTTTCCAATACTATTTTCAACTACCACAAATGTGTTCATATAAAAACATATATGAATTAGAAAATAGGCAAAAATTTTCATTTTCACTCCCAAAGATCTTGTTTTGGAAAACCATCCTGCAGTTACAATAACAATCATAGTTACAAGAAAACAAGGAAAAGAAAGGAGAACATGAGTTTCAAGAGTTCAGCTCATTTCCCATCTGGAAAAGAAGGCAAAGATAGACAACTTATTGTGTTCTCTTTATATTTATGGCCAAATAGTAGGGACCCTGCATCAAGGGCTTAATTTTTTTTTAATCTTCTTTTGAATTAATAGAGTATTTACATCTCACATGCACATAGATAAATACTTTCTTTTCTGTTTTTTCCTGATAAGAAGTCGTCATGCTCATGAATCAGTAATAAGTTCTTCTTGCTTTCCTGTAAGATTTTCTTCTCTGAAACCATACTTCACAATGTCACATCAGAACTCATAGAATTTAACCTTTGTCTAAGATAGAGGCTGTAAACTTTCAGAATAATGTCACTTGGTGAGTCTTGATTTCATTTATTACGTGTATTTATAAAAGAGTTACAAAGGAGAAACCATCTTGAGGTGGAACTAATTTAAATTTAAAATCTGAAAATTGTTACAGAACTAACAGAATATAAGGATATTCTATCAGAGGCTTCTATGAAATTTAAGAATTTCTTTTCTTAAGGAATTAGAATATATGTTCATAATAAGATTGAAGTGACTTCAATGATAATACTTACCTTCCAATTTTTGGATGGTGATCTTAAGGCAACTGGTCGTTCAGTCAGTGATCCCATTTGAGACATGCTTTCATCTTCACCAATAAGAGCACTAAGCTTCCAACTTCCACCAACATCCTGCATGATCTTTGCAGCTTCTGTTACAATGACCTGTATGAGATAAAAAATACACACAAAATATCCTGAGCATTGGATCCATTAAAACTTAAAGACATAACTAAACTAAGACATGAATTGCTTTACCGTCCTCAGAAGTTCAGGATTATCAACCCCTTGCACTTGCAGTTCATCTACATGTGAAGCTTTTCTATGTGCTACACTTTCAATTCTAAAGGTATGGATTCCATATACAGACTGTAGCCAACCTATAAACATCATAACAGATTAATGAAATTAGTTTTTTTTTTTAGATGTCTTATCAGTTTATTTGCACAGTAACATTACTAAGAATTATTATTGTACTGCTTCACTAATCAAGCAGCTGGCACAAGCCATACAGCTATATAATGTAATGTTTGATGAATGAAACCTGAGAAAAATAATGCAAGATAGCAGAATGCGCCCTTTCTCTTAAGCTGTTTCTTTCTTTACATTGGACTTCCACCACAGCAAAACTTTATCAGGATAGAAGAAGACAGAAGGTCAAACTACACAACAGAATAACTCTGCACAGTTATTCTAACTTCCTTTAGCATACTAGAAAATGGCTAACAGTACAACCTCTATATGAGACCAAATAGCCATATTACTATTGTGTTTTAACAGGAAAGTGCAAGAATATTTGATGGTTTCAAGAGTATATCAATGAAAATCGGCACCCCATAAAATATCCACGGCATATTTCCTTGTAAAAGATAATAGAATAACTACGTCAAAACAAAAAAAAAATTAAACGAGAAACAAACTGCATCTAATGAGGCATGCATCAATACCTTGTTCAATAATGATATCAATCACCATGGTAAGCGGTATACGCTTCTCAAATGTTGTTCTGCCCAAACATGGTACATAAGAAGGCCTAGAAACCTTCACAAGGAAGGGAAAAATTATATAAAATTACTTTTCATTAAAAACAAGTAGTTAAGTATTCGAGCATGCAGACAACTGTACCTTGTAAACTATTTCTCTAGGTGTGACATATAGCTTCCTTGAAGAGATATCCCTTTGAAGAACATATCTCTTGATTGGCAGATACAGCAACATAATGATGCCAATCCCCCAAGCTAAAACCAGCAACAATGATATGGAGAACCATATTATAGTGTCATACTGAATAATATTGCTCGCAAGCTCTTCAAAAGATGCTGTGTACAATATATGTTGAGGACAATCTATAACTTCATCATCTAACTCTGATTCAGGCTCAGCAAGAAGTTTTTCCTTCGGCAACCTGAGCTCTGATAGACTATCCGCATCGTCCATGAACATTTGTGAAGCTCAAAAACTATTAACAGCAAATCAAGAACATAATTAGTTGCTTTATAAAAACAGTTTCATGGGTCAAAAAGAAAAGAACTCTTAGGACCAAATAAAAATGTGATGCATTAAATGCACCCATGCCCCAGGAAGCAAGAAAAACACCCCTTGATCACCTAAACCGGGAACAAAGCTACATCTTTGGCTCCCAACTCCAACATGATCATCCATTCACAACGATAAAGTATACAGACAGCTGCCATTTTTTATACAGCAATAAATTGAATCAAAAAGAAAAGACGACAAGCAAGCAATACGATATAGTATTTTTTTTTGAAATAAAAAAGAAAGTGTATATTCACAAGGTACCAAAAGGGGTGCAACCCATGTCCAAAAAGGTATTACATATTACTTAGCCAATCTACAATATACCCAAAATCCTTCACCCTATGCACATCATGCCCCAATATTAAAGACCCAAAATAAATAAATCCATCTATCTCTAATTTTAGTGTAGTCATTTTCAACTCCTTTGAAGATCATATCATTTCTTCCCTTCCACACAATCCAAAAAACAGTGAATGGAATAAGATTAACTAGCTTCTTTTTTCCTTTGCCCAAACCAGCCCATGCCCCTAATTCCTCTCTAACCAAGCCACTCATCACCCAATTCACCCCAATCAATCTAAATATAGAGCACCATAACTCGTGCACAGCAGGACAATGTAGAAGAAGATGATCACACATTTCAGCCTCTTTCTTGCACAAACAGCACCCGTTCACCAGCACCATCTCCCTCTTCACTAAATTATCCACAGTCAAAATACAGTTCCTGCTGGCTTCTCAGGCAAAAAAAAGCAATTTTAAGAGGAGCCTGAACTTTTCAAATCTGCTTAGCAGCAAAATAGTTGAATCTACCGCTGTTCTCTTGCGTAATAAAATCATAGTAAGATCTCACTGTAAACATCTCATTTTTCTTATGTTTCCAAACCAACCTGTCCCTATCATTAGTTAGTTTAATATTGGACAGCACCCGAAGAATAGCCTCATACTCCACCTCCCAATCATTCAGATTTCTATTCACCGCAATATTCCAAAACCCCCCACCCCCATCATTGCACCACATTTCCTCCACATAAGCATTATTTTTCTGTGCAATTGCATATATTCTAGAAAATCTCTCCATAAGGCAGCCCCCTTCCTCCCAAGAATCCGTCCAAAAATACACATTACTACCTTTCCCAACCTTCCATTTAACACACTCGCTGCAGCCACCACATTCATTTGCAATACCGTTCCATAAGCCAGTGCCATAGCTTCCCCGATTGTACCACTCACACCCCTTCCATTCCACTTGCCCCACCTCGCATCCACCACCCTTTTCCACAACCTGTCCTCCTCATTAAAGTATCTCCACAACCATTTAGCATGAAGGGCCCTGTTCATGTGCACAAGTGATTTAATGCCCAATATTAAATAACAAGGTAAGATAAAACAAAAATGGGAATGGAGGTCCTCCTGTTCTAACTTCCACTTAACGCTCCCAAACCTTCAACCTTTATATTGGATTCACTTCCCTACTTGTTCAAGGATTTCATAACTAAAAAAAATGGAATGGATAAGGAATCCCCAGGCCTAAGACCTCTCAATTCTTTATAAAAAGTAGCTGGGTGCTCAATGATCAAGACCTCAAAAGAGGTGAAGACATAAATTTCCAAATCCAACTGCACCATCTACCACAAAGCCCAAAAAGTAGATAAGGAACATCTAGAAAATATGATATAGGCCTTCTCCATGTAAAATCTTGCAATTTAGCTCAACCTCTCTATTCTTCATCAAAGAATCAACGTCTTCAATTCCTACCAAAGCCACATCTAAACCCAAGAAAAGATACTAAAGCATTGTTTTGGGTTTCCTCTAACTATTCAAGAAGGCCAACAATTGCTTCATAGCTCCTTCAGATCATTTTGGAAAGCAAATGGTTGGCTTGGTATTTCATTTTCTTTACTGCTCTATATGTAAAAGAATACATAGATACTAAGGTCCATATAAATGGTTTGTGATGGTTGATAAATGAATTTGTGAGGGAGAAAAATGGTAATGACCATGCATAACCTTTTGAGTCATTATTATTTTACATACTAAAATTGAAATATAAATATAGAGCCACAAAAGTGATGATTGGTGAGGTTTTTAATAGTATTTTACAAGAAAACTTTGGCAGAACAAACAATCTCAGGTACATAATAGTATTGCCATGTCTTTTAGTGAGGATTCTGTCAGGGAACCCCTTAGGGTTTATTGCAGAAAGAAGGGCAAAAAAGGAAATATGCACACAAAAGGGCATAACAGGAAAAATGAAAAACAACTAGAATTAGGGTTGACCAACCCTAACAAGACTCCACAGCCAACACCTCTGCTTTCCAAATCCATCCCATAGACGACGCCGATCATCATCATCACACAATTCCAGCCGCAACTCCAGCAAGCTTGATTCCGCCTTGAATAATGAATTTCTTTAATGTATTTAGACCTATAAAAAAGGCTCCTTTCACGATTTAAAACACATCAGAATCAATAAAAAGTCTCTATTTTCTCCCTTGTTCGTTCTTCTTCTTCTCCCTTAAACTTTCACAAGGTCAGAGCCAGAACCGGCCGAATCATACGCCGGTATTGCCACCCGAACACAGTCGAAGGGGAAGATCCCGATGACCAAACCAGAAAATCCCGAATCACTCATCATAAAAGAAGTCGATTTGAAACTATCAGCACTCATGGATGAATCACGCAGACAGTTCAACGTGATATTCGATGCTCCAAGGCGGAACTGCCGATCAGGTTGAAAGAAACTCGAGGCGACAAGAAGCCGAGACCCATTCAGGTGAAGGCCTTCTTCTTTTCCCGTACGACGCAGATGCAGGAAAACAAGGGCTTGGAGCCTCTTTTGCTGCAGATTCCGTTGCTTTGATCCGGAACCCACCATATAGCAAATCAGATCACGATGAAATCGGCCGAACTAGCCCGAATCACTCCATCCCAACTCGACCCAATCCGATCCAATCCGGCTTGACTTGATCCAGCCCAGAACCGGTCCGAACTGGCCTACCCAGATATCACCCATTTGAGCTACTAGACCGCTTGCAATCGCGCACCGAACTAGCCCACCTCCCATTTACGCACTCCGTAAGGTGGAAATTCCACTTTTTGAAAGAGATAACCCTCGTGGATAGGTCCAGTGTTGTGAAAAGTATTTCATGATCCACCACACTCCCAATGAACAAAAAGTGGAGATTGCATCCCCATATTTGGGCGAAATTGCCGACTTATGGTATCGTGAATGGCTAGCAAAGTTTGACATCCTAAATTGGGAATACTTCATGGAATAACTAAACCGACAATTTGGAGGACCTTCTCAAAAAGATTTCATAGAAGAGTTCATCAAGTTATACCAAACAGGTACCATTCTCGAATTTGTTAAAAAATTTGAATACTTACGTTTTCTTATGAATGCAGATAAACCTACGCTTTCAGATATATTTTTTATATCCACTTTTATCAGTGGCCTCAGACCACAGCTACAACCCATGATAAGAACCCTCAAGCCACAAACACTCAACCAAACATTTAAACAGGCTTTACTGTAAGAACAATCAGTCATAGAGCTCCGCAATCCCTATCTTCCTAGTTATGAAACTCCTTCGTTAAAAAGAGACCGAAACCATGATAGATCATTCAGGGGCACGAAAAAGGGCGCAGATCCTAAAAGATCAACAGCATGTTACAAATGTAGATATATGTATTTTCCAGGACACCGATACTCCAACAAAACAGTCAGGGCAGTGGAGGAGATCATGCCAGAAGATACTTTAGAGAACAAAGCCTCGGAGGAAGCTAAAGAGGTTGGTGATGACCTTACTAGCACTCTGTCCCTACAAGCAATAGAAGGGGGTCACCACAGGGAGTACCCTGAAAATATGAGGAAAATTGTCAGATCATGATGTGTTAGTCCTACTAGATAGTGGAAGCTCACATTCCTTCCTAAACGAAGGAGCTTCTAAATGGATCAAGAATCAGGTGGTCAGCAGTAAACCCCTAACAGTTATGGTCACCAACGGACAATAGATATTTAATCACCTTGAATGCCCAAATATGACGTGGACCATGCAAGACTACAAGTTCACATACAATTTCCGCATCGTCTCACTAGGAGGGTATGACATGATATTAGGGATAGACGAGATGAAACAATTTGGCCCAATGATGTTTGACTTCCTCCATGCAACGGTACGATTCAATTATGAAAATTTACAAATATCATTGCAAGGTTGTGACTTTTGCGAAGCATCCCAAGCAAGAGAAATAAAGGCGAAACAATGGGTCAAACATAAGCAAACAGTCGAAGGTGGAACAATATTTCTAATCATGAAAGTTTCAGAGAAGGTACCCACTTCTGAGATGCCCAACTCAGCACTAGAAGCACTACTTAGACAATATCATGATGTCTTTCAGGAACCACATGGTTTGCCATTGACCAGAGCCTTCGATCATGTCATCACCTTATCCAAACATGATGTTGCCATGAATATTCGACCCTACAGGTACTCGTTCAATTAGAAGAACGAAATAGAAAAGCAGATACAACAAATGTTGAAGGACTCATTAATACGCCCCAGTCGTAGCCCCTTCTCTTCATTGGTACTGCTAGTCAAAAAGAAAGATAGTACATGGAGGTTTTGCGTGGACTATAGAGAACTAAACTCTCTGACAATAAAATATAAGTTTTCCATACCCATCATTAATGATCTCATTAACGAATTATATGGAGTATATATCTTCTCTAAAATTGATCTTAGAGCAGGATATCATCATATCAGGGTCAAGGAGGAAGGCATCTACAAGACAACTTTCAGAACACACCAGGCTCATTACGAATTCAGGGAGATATCTTTCCACTTGACCAATGCCCCCACTACCTTCCAAGCTCTCATGAATTACATATTCAAGGTTTTTCTCCAAAGTCTTCTTTGA